GGGCGACGGGCTAGGGCGTGGGCCTGGGCGACGGGCTAGGGGCGCAGGCTAGGGGCGCGGAGGGCGCTAACGCGCGGAGGAGGAGGGCGCTAAGGCGCGGAAATGGCGCGGAGGGCGCGGTGGCTAAGGCGCGGAGGGCGCGGAGGGCGCGGAGGGCGCGGAGGGCGCGGAGGGCGCGGAGGGCGCGGAGGGCGCGGAGGGTGCTAGGGCGCAAGGGCGCGGAGGGCGCGGAGGGCGCGGACTAGGCTAGGCTAGGCGAGAGGATCGACACCTACTCATGATACCATCTTAAAGTTAGCGAACAACGGAATGATTGGAATAGAAACGAATGGGGTACAAATGAGCAACCCTAGAAGCTGTACCCCCTAGAGTGCAACTCACTATAGCCTATCATATCAATGTTCAACATTTGACAGTCATTTACATTCACTCTGACCTGAGTTGACTACTTCCGCTGCAACACTACCCTGCGATCAACCCTGAGCGATCCTTCGCTAAGTCCCACTTGGGATTGTAACAGAAACAAGCTGATTTTAGAGATTATCCTCAAGCACAAAAATTGGTGTAATGTTCTCGTAAATAGCACTAATTGGGTTCCAAACTTTCATGGCAAAACATATATGTTCAGCAGTTCATACGGATCCACCCTGAAATGGAGTCTCTGTGAAAAGCAAAAGCAGCGATACGTAGTTTCAAATTGAGACTGAAGTGCCTACGTTAGTCGCATTTTCACTCTTGTGCACTCTTTTCTCGCCCGCCATTACCCTACTGATCCTCTTGATTCCCATAGTCGCGCTTCCGCCACGTTCAGGTCTTTCGCCACTCTCGTTCTGCAAAACTCGCCGGTTCGTTACCAGCCACAGAAAATTTCCCTTCCTCGTCGCGCATTCAATCACAAGTGCTCCTGACTCGAATATGATTCCGTCCGCGTCGTGTCCGGCTCCCAAGTCCGGGTTCTCTGTCACGCCACCAAGCGTCGCCACTTTCCCCTTATCTGCTCGTCAACTTTGGTCTCTGGCTAATTAGCCGAGCTTAGGCGTGATACCAGCCCCAGACAAACCTTTTCTTTCCGTCGAGAAGTTAGGCCTGTCCATCAATCACAGCATAACAACCCCATTCGAGAGCACCAGAAGCAGCAACAGCAGCAGCAGCAGCAGCGCCATCAGCAGCGTCATCAGCAGCGCCTTTCGGACTATCATAGCATCCCGCCATGGTTTGGCTCCTACGTTCCATCACCGACCCTTCAGGTTCAGTGACACTAGCTCCTTCTCGCTCTAAACATCGTCAAACTGATTATTTATTCTACAGCTTTCAATCGTTACTGTGAACATACAAGGTCGCCTTTCAGGATTCTTCTTCCATGCACATGCATAAAACGTTCACATTTCCACTCGCTCTGGTCTCGTGCACTTAGATCATCTCCGTCTTCGCCTTCCTCCCCTGGTTCTTCCCTCTGCCACTCCCTCCATGGTTTTCCTTTTGCTGCTTCGCTGCTGCAGCTCCACCGCTTGTGTTGGCAAGGCCTCGGTCATACACCGTGGGACGCAAGGGTATGTTCGTAATGCCACACTCCTGCTCTTTCTCCTCTCTGTCTCCTCGGCTAGCTTTCTCCCCTAGTAGCCTCCTGCTGGCAGCCTTTAGCCTCTTCAAGTAGCCTATATGCGAGTATGATACTATTAAGACTATCTTTAGGACTCTAAATTAGATTACCAGACTCTCAGACCACAAGATTCTTGGGCTGTGAAGCTGCTCGTGGCTTCAGAAACATGCCATGGTGTTACGTTGTGGGTCTTGCGGTTGTTCTTTTAGAAACGCAGGGAGCTTTAGAAATGTTGTGCATGCACTGCCTTCCTCTCCGCTGTTGCTCATCGTTGCTGTGTTCCTCTCGGCACGTGCACCACCACCATACAATTGGATGTAGATCTGCTCCCCGCGTTCTTCCTGCTCCCTGCTTCTTTGAAACTCCCCACGTTCCACATCATTCCATTTGCGGTTCCCGCTTTACATGCCTTGTCTCATGGATAGCATCCCCTTCCTTCTCTCTTCCCCAACCCCCCCCATTGACGTTGCAGTGTATTTTTGAGAAATTTAAAACTTGTTATTTGCGGTTCCCGCTTTACATGCCATGCCTTGTCTCATGGATAGCATCCCCTCCCTGCTCTCTTCCCCAACCCCTCCTCCACCCACCCTTCCCCCCCCCCCCCCTCTACCTCGCCACCGCCTTCAACCCCCCACCTTTCCCCTCCTTCCCCTCCGCAATTCCATTCTTGCAGTCTTTTCCTGAGCTGCGACATCATTATTGCTTTCTCAGTCGACTCAAAACCCGTTCCCCTCCCGTCCCCCCGCATCTCCCTCCATGCACTCCCCCTTCGGGCAGCAATTTCACAATTGCAGAGTAGTTTTGTGTCGAATCAAAACCCTTTCCCTTCTTTTCCCATGGCATCTCCTTCCTTGCATTGCATTCCTTCCCCCCCCCCCCCCCCCCCCCGTTCCCACCTTTCAGGCTGTGACATCACCATTCCAGATGACAAGTCAGTGTCACGCCACCATGCCGATCTCATTCTCCGTTGGCCCTCCACTCACCTCCACCACACCGGACATGCACTGCGCAGCAGCCACCGCACCACCACCAACAACAACAGTGCCAGCGGCAGTATCGACAGAAGCGGTGCTTCCTCTCCACCTTTTCCATCCCTTCACGTGAAGGATATGTCTAAACTAGGAACCTTCCTCTTACCTGCGGCTGCTGCTGATGCGGCTGGTGGTGCTGCTACTTCCAAAGCACCAGCTCCTGCGCTGCTGGTGAAGACAAACCCCGAAGCTGAGGCCGAGGTTCGGGATGGAGACGTGATCACGTTCGGAACCAACACGGCCAAGTATAGGTGTGTGGTGGTGTGTTCGTGACGTGACGTGACCGCCAGTGTGGCAGTTCGTACGTAGCAGAGGGGAGGGGCTAGGTGCGAGTGAGTGCGATGTCATCATGTCATGCTTGTTGGTGAAGTTGCCTTGCCATGCCATGCCATCCTCTCACACCATTCCAGCCTGTGGCTGCAGCGATTCTTGATTTAGCTTGTGCTGGTGATTTGTCTCTCCATCCTCTCTAGAATCGCTTGGGCTGGGCGGGCGTGGTGTCGGTCTGATTAGCTTTGTTGCGCTCTCATCTGTGTTTGCTCTCGTTGAACCAAGCCCTCCTCTTCTCCCTTTCCTGCCAGTTTCACACCCCTGACCGTTCCCATTAGGCTCCACACACACACACCCCGTCTTCCCCTCCTCCTCCTCCCCCCCCATTTCTCGCTCCAAAACTCATCGCTCGCCCTCACCACAATCAGTTGAGCCCATCCCTTTCTTCATAAGTGTATGTTTTTTAAAGGAAACTTGTGGCAGTAAAAGGACCCAAGAGCAATTGTTTGCTCTCCCATCCCATCCTTGTGATGACTGTCTTTTTTCACGAGTGTGAACTTGGTCTTATAAAGCACGCATCTGCTGTCTCTTGAAGCGCCTACACAAACTCTGCGTACCATCCTCCTTCCATCCTCCCTCCCCTGTTACTTCTGGCAGGGCGTCGTTCCTCCCCTTGGCCGTGTGCCTGCCACCCTCAGCCTTCGGCAAAGGGTTTCTGAGGCACCTCAAATCTCGTCCTTCCATCCTCCCTCCCCTGCTGCTTCTGGCAGGGCGTCGTTCCTCCCCTTGGCCGTGTGCCTGCCACCCTCAGCCTTCGCCGCAGGGGAGAGGGAACAGTGGGTACAGAAGAGCACTGACTGCGGTGCGTAGATTAGTATTCTCCATTCCCTCCTCCCACACCCACCTACTGCTGCAGTCTGCAGGGCTTGCCCTTGTAGGAAACTAGCAGTGCTTACGTTTCCCTTTCTTGCGCTTGGTCCCTCCTTGCCCTTCTCTGCTGTGATCTGCTCTGCTCTGCCCTGTATTCCTTAAAGCCCGAGTCTAGAATGGTAAGGCTTCAAGAATACTGAACTTGAAAGGTGTTGGGAAAGCGACGGAATGGGCAAGCGATGGTCATGTGAAGGCCAGCGACATGATGGGAGAGCGTGGGAGACACTCAGAGTAAGCGTGGGCGACGGACGCGGGAAGGGAGAGCCACCTAAAAGGCGACGGGAGGGGAGGCGAATTCAAGTTCAAGAATCTTGAACTTGAAAAGTTGCCATTCTAGACTCGGGCTTTAACGTTCTCCTTAACCTCACACATCTCTGGTCCGTACCGTACCATAGCACACCTCTTAAATCATACCGCACTGCCCATCTGTTGCTGGTTTGAAGAAGCCCTGGAGAACGCCCTTCATTCGTCCTTCTCACCCTCATGCCTCTCTAGGCTAGGCAGTCCTCATGTGTCAATAGGATGGCCATCTTTAGTACGTGTTCCTCGCTCATCCTTCCTGTGCGTTCTGTCTCTCACACTCTCATCACATTCCTCCCCCTTCTCCTCCCCCTTCTCCTCCCCCTTCTCCTCCTCCTCCTCCTCCTCCTCCTCCTCCTCCTCCTCCTCCTCCTCCTCCTCCTCCTCCTCCTCCTCCCCCCTCCTGTTCTAACCCCCCATCAATCTCCCTTCACCAGGCCTTCCATCCTCGCCAACGTGGCAGCCCTGGACCACACACCTCGTTGTGCCACATGGCGCAACGGTGGACCGCCACGTCACCGCAGCTGCAGCAGCAGCTACTGCTACCCCTACTACTACTGCAGATTCAGCTTCTGCTTCTGCTGCTGCGGCTGCTGGGCTTGTCTTTGGGACTGCCACAGAGGGTGATGCCGGTCTGCCAGCAGGTGGTGACATGCAGGGGCGTGCAGTGGTCTCGACAGCATGGCTTGATGCAGTGAGTGACTGTGCCCTGGTGTGACTGGCAGGGACGGATTCTGGAATCAAGGGGCAGGGCTGGGTTGGGGACTTTGTCAGAGCGCGCGCTCACACACACACACACACACACACACACACACACACACACACACACACACACACACACACACACACACACACACACACATGCTCACATGCATACACACGTACACTCAAAGTCTCCAGTCTCAAATCTTTTCTCACACACTCCATCCCCTGCCCGTTTCCACTACCTCCCACCCCCTTCTTCCTCCCCTTCCCTCACCATCCTCCATCGCGTGTCCCCTACCTGCCATGTCCATGCCCACACCGTGCAGGTATCTTCTCTGAAGCCTCTCAGCGCACCCATCCCTACGGCCAGCGCCTATGCTCCTCGTCTCTGGGTGCCTGCTTCTGTCGCTCTGCGCCTTCCCTCTCCTGCTGCTGGTTCTGCTGCTGCTGCTGCTACTGGCGTGCAAGCGAGTCAAGCAGGAGACAGGGAAGAGCCAGCGGGGGGTGAGGGGGTGTATGGAAGGGAGAGGGGGGAGGGAGGAGCAGGGGAGGAGGAGGGAGAGGAGGTGGTGTTGGGTGTGGCAGAGGATCGGCGGAGGGTGTTCAATGATGTGCACTTTGTCTCTTGCACGCGGGATCATGAGGTGAGGGAATGAGGGGTTGCTTGGAAGGGGGAGTAGGGAGAGGAGGTGGCGATGGGTGTGGTGGAGGATCGGCGGAGGGTGTTCAGTGATGTGCTCTTTGTCTCTTGCACACGGGATCATGAGGTGAGGGAACAAGTGAAACGAGTGAGTGAGGGAACATAGTTGCATACCCATGGCCACACCATTCTTTCTTTCGCACTCTGTGTCTTCTTCAAACGGTCCTGTGTGTTGAATCTCCTGTGAGAGGTACACTCATGCAGGTACAAGGGAGTAAGATTACAAAGGAACCCTCTAACCCTATATCCCTGTGTAATCGTTCAACCCTCCAACGTATGGAGGGCATCCCCCAGTTGCGACAGCCACGGGTCTACCTGCTGCATCTCCGAGCATGAGCACTTGCTCGCAGATGCTGTGCGCATCAGCATGGGTTATTTGCTCTGTTTCTCCACCTGTGCTGTGCGCAGTTGTCTTCGAATCGCTTGCTATTTACGATTCAAAACCCGTGTGGCTTGGCTCGTCCGTGCCCCTCTGTGTCTGTCTGTATGCGTGTGTGGGTGCGTGCATGGGTGTGTGCATGGGTGTGTTCATGGGTGTGTGCATGGGTGTGTGCATGCGTGTGTGCATGCGTGTGTGCGTGCGTGTGTGTGTGCGTGTGTGCATGCGTGTGTGCATGTGTCTGTGCATGCGTCTGTGTCTATATTCGTGTGTCTGTGCGTGTATGCACATGTGCACAGTACCACCCACCAGTGCTACTCTCTCTCATCACAGCATGTGGCGGCCAGGTTCAAACCATCCCCCCCACCGCCTCCCACCTCCCAGCCTCCTCTCGCTCCCGCCTCTGCTGGTTACCGGCACTCTCCAGACCCGCTTCCTCCTCCTCCCCTTCCCCCCCCTCTCCGCCTTCGTTTATACCACCTGCACCCACTCCCGCCCCGGCAAAAGCAACGAGAAAAACTTCAGCCAGGGCAGCAAAAGCAGCAGCAACCAAAGCAGCAAAAGCCGCTGCTGCAGCAGCAGCAGCAGCAGAAGCAGAAGCGGCAGCAGCTGCCGCCGCAGCAGCAAGAGCAGCAGCAGCAGAAGTATCCGCGCTCCCTCCCCCACCTGCTGCTCTCTCCCTGCGAGTAGCCTTGCTGCGCAAGGTGATAGCTGGTGCTCTCAAGGGGGCGATTGACAGCTGGGAGGACATGACTGCTGCTCCTGAATGGCCCAGAGAGGAGGGGAAAGCAGCAGGGAAGACAGAGGACGGAGCAGCCATTGATTTGGACGAGGCTGATACTGGTGAGAATGGATTGCTGGGTGGATGGGTGGGTGGGCGTGTGAGTGAGCGAGTGAGTGAGTGAGCGAGTGAGTGAATGGGTGGGTAAGTATCTCACTCTCAAAAACCGTTCACAAACCGAAGATATCTCCTCTCTGCACAAGGTGATAGCTGCTGCTCTCAAGGGGGCGATTGGCAGCTGGGAGGAGGTGACTGACTGCTGCTCCTGAATGGCCCTGGGAGGTGGGAAAGGCAGAGGACGGAGCAGCCATTGATTTGGACGAGGCTGATACTGGTGAGATGAGAATGGAGATGAGATGCGGCTTTCACTGGGTCAGTGGTTCGGTTTGTGGTTAGCTGGGTGTGGTTACATTACATGGTAAGTGGGTGGTTGGTTCATCTCCAGTTCCTGTCTCCATGCCTGTCCGGATCAATTATTGTGCATAGAAGCACCTTGCCCTGCGCTGCGTGCATGCCCATTTCATCCCATTGCGTTGCATCCCGTCCCATCGCATGCGTCCATCTCCGCAACCCCGTGCCTTTCCAGTGGTTGCCTCAGATGCCTGCCTCCTACACCGACTGTGACAGCATCACAGGGGATGGTGCTGCTGGCTTTTGAGCCGTCTCAAAATTCATCCCATCCGTTCATCTCTACAACCCTGTGCCTTTGCAGTGGTTTTGTCAGATCCCTCCCTCCCTCCCTCCCACACTGACAGTGACAGCAACACCGTGACAGCACCACACAAAATGGCGCTGCTGGCTTTTTTAGACCATTCAAAAGTCTCCCCATCCTTTCATGTCCACAACCAACCCTGTGCCTTTGCAGTGGTCCTGTCAGATGCTTCCCACACCGACAGTGGCAACGACAGTAACAGCACCACAGAGGGTGGCACTGCTGCCTATTGAGTAGAAACGTCTAAATAATAATCCCATTCTTTCATCTCTACAACCCCGTGCCTCCGCAGTGGTCCTATCTGATGCTTCCCACACCGACAGTGGCAACGACAGCGACAGCACCACAGAGGATGGCGGCGCTGCTGCTGGCTTTTGCGTCAAATCGCCTCATGATTCTTTCCATTCATTCATCTCTGCAACCCCGTCCCGTTGTTTTGCAGTGGTCCTATCTGATGGTTCCCACACTGACAGTGGCAATGACAGTGACAGTACCACAGAGGATGGCGGGGCTGCTGGCAATGCTGCTGCTGCTGGCGGTGGTGGTGGTGGTGCTGCTGCTGCTGCTGACAGCGATGCCGGAACAGACGACGAGTCTTTTCCAACCTTCCGCACGGCGCCAAGTGCTGCAGATGACGCAGAGACAGATGCAGTAGCAGCAGAAGGAGGGGTAGGGGCGACGGCGGGAGTACAGCAAGTGTCCTCACATGTTGTAGATAGGCTGGCACCCTGTGTGGGGGATGGTGGCGGTGATGGTGGTGGTGATGGTGGTGGTGGTGGTGGTGGTGGTGGTGGTGGTGGTGGTGGTAAGAGGAAGAGGAATGCAGGCACAGAACTTGGAAAGGAGGTGCTCGCTGGGGTAAGAGAGGGGACAGAAGCAGGCGTAGGATTAGGAGTAGGGTCGGCAGGAGGTTCAGGGGCAAGAGCAGAAGTAGGAGAAGCAGAAGGAGGAAGAGAAGGAGCAGCATTGAACGGAGCAGTGGTACCAGCAGCCCTGAACGTAGCAGACCCTGCATCGCCAGTATCATCAGGAGGTGGAGGAGGAGGAGGAGGAGGAGGAGGAGGAGCAGCAGCAGCAGCAGCAGCAGCAAGAGGCAAGCGGTCTGGTGATGTTCGAAGTTTCTTTTCCAGGAAACTTCCCAGCGAAGCTGCTCCCCGCGCCACTGCTGCTGCTGTCGGTGCTGCCTCTCCTGCTGTTTCTGCTGCTGCCCGCGCTGCCCGTGTAAAAACAGAAGCAGAAGGAGAAGACGGAATGGGAGGGGAGGAGCGAAAAGCGAGTGAGAAGAGCAAGAGTAAAGGCATGAAGGGTAGCGACGGGGGTGGAGGAGCAAGAAGTGCAACAAAAGGAGAAGGAGGTGGTGGTGGTGGTGGTGGTGGTGGTGGTGGTGGTGGTGGTGGTGGTGGTGGTGGTGGTGGTGGTGGTGGGAATGGCAGTTCGCTTCCACCTGATATCGTTAACAAGGTGGTGTTTGTCAAAGGGCTAGTCGTGGTCCCTTCCCCCCCTCACTCCCCTACTGCAACCCCTTTGGGACAGAGACAGCAGCAGCAGCAGATGCACAGCATGGCTTTCACTCCGCTCCCTCCTTCTGCTGCTGCTGCCGGTGCCACTCAGGAAACTCAGTTCCCGTGTTCTTCTACTTCTGCCTTACCCAACTTCAAGCGATTCAAAAAGGTTGGGTGGAAGTTTTTTGTTTTTGTTTGTTTGTTTGTTTGTTTGTTTGTTTGTTTTTTCGTTTGTTTGTTTTTGTTTTTGGTCCAAACTTTCTCTATGTTTTCTTTCATTTCATCCGAGCAGCAATCAAGTATCAGTAAAGGGAGGAGATTACACTACTTCATGTGTCATACTGAGTGAAACTAGTCCGCCTGACCGCTTCTGCTTGTGTCTTCCACTAGTGTCTTCTTACTGTCGTGCCCTCTACATTCCTGTGTCCCCTGCGTTCGCACCACAGACACCACTATCACCACCAGCACCACTGTTTCCTGTTCCTCACCTCGCATCTCCCGTTTCCAACCAACCATTCTCCCCTGATTGACACCGACTGCGTGTGTTAAGGTGTGGGGAGCCCCCCCAGGCAACACCCCTGGAATCCTCGTGCAGTACTCACCCAAGCCCTACCGGTACACTCTCTTGCTCACCTTTTGTGGCACTAGAGATGTAGCCAGGCAACACTAGAGGAACTCCTGTGCTGTACTCTCCCAAGTTAGGGTAGGCTCTTGCTCTCTACAAGTGGGTGGTTGCTTGTTAGACCTTGTTTCACCCGCCTTTCTGCCACTCCCTTTCCTACGACTTTTCCTGCTCTGTTGTCATCATAAAGTTGTGTGGTGAGTCTGCCCTTTCTCCATCCATGTCTTGAATTTTTATCTTGAGATTGATTTTCAGTTATTGTTTTTGTTTTTTTCTTTGGAGATTATTTCCTTCATGAGTCCGTGCCCATCTTTGCTGTTCAGCATGGAATCACATGGCATTTCTAGTGTCTACATTTGCACCATCACCCTCACCACTAACTCCTGTTCTATGCCGACAGACCTCTATGTATATATCTGGTTAATGCGTATACATATATTTTATAAAAACTATCCTTATGTGAATCTTCCGCCTCCATCATGCAGAGGGCCTATGGACAACATGGACAGCTACATTCAGAAGCAGAACAGGAAGCGCCAGCAGGAAGCTGCAGCTGACGAGATCTTTAACAATGATAAGGTGATTACGCATATCTGCATCCTTTTTTTTTTACTGTCAATTTTTTTTTGGAATGGATGTATGGTATGATACAGGATGCTGCTTTGATATTGTCAATCCCCCTGCTTCCAGTTGATGTTTTTTTCCAGACACAAGTGTATTTATTATCTAACTTGTCGATCATTTTCCCCCGTCTTTTTGTCCGTCACTTTCTCTCCACACCACAGGGGAAGAAGCGAAAGCTGACAGCAAATCAAGTAGCAACAGAAGGCTTATTCGCCCTTACTCAACGGAAGCGCCGCTAGCATTGTACCTACTTGTACTTCACACCAAGTTTTGCACATACGGTACGGCAAGTCCAGTATATTTGGCATGTGCAATGGCTTTAACCATACGGATGTGTTCAATTCAGTCTTTTGTGGCAAAAAACCGATCAGAATTGTGTTCACTTGAAACTGGAAAGTTCTGTTCGCCTTTGTGCTGGCAAACTGGTTGAGGAAGTGATAAACCTGTGTTTGGCTTAGAGCGGGGCGGAATGTGTACCACAGCTTCAACATTTATAGCAGACTTCTATAGAACTACACACTTTAGCTGCTCAATGTTCGTGGAGCCACTGTAACATGCTTCTGTAACGTGCGCTTTCGCTAAAGCTCGCTGCGGCCCACCTTCCTCTACCCCACCCCTCCCAACATACCGGTACCTGTCGTCCCGCTGCTTGCTCTGCTCTAGGGTATTCACACCCAAGTACTCTGTTCCGCCGCCTCCATATCCCTCGCAACCTCCGCCATTCCCGCGGTCGTCGCCCTCTATCATCCGCTTACCGTCACCGTACAGATCCGCTAAATCCGCCAGTGTCTAGCTTCCGTCACGTTCAGGTCTTTCTCGCTCCTCTGCCTATCGACACGCTTTCGTTCCTCACTGCTCTTGGCTCAGATTCGCTCCCGTTCGGTTCCGTTACGGTCCGAGCTGCTGTACCCGCTATAAGCGTATTCGTTAGCGGCGTCATGGCGTTCATTATGGAGTTCGTGGAGCACTTCATCCGCGCGGGAATGGAGGATCCGCGCGATCGGGACGAACGCGCCGCCGCTCGAATCCGGGTGAGCAGCGTGGCGTTCCTCTCCTGGGCCGGGGAAGCATGAGGGTTGAACGCCGATGTCGAGCGGAGGTCGAGTGAAGTGGGTAGAGCGAAGGTCGAACGGATGTCGAACTAAGTTTGAATTAGGTTAGGTTGAATTAAGTAACGCGCAATGGTTCCACTGGCTGTACCGCAGTTGATTTAATGGCTATTAGCCTGTCGCCTATCGGTTCCAGTAGCGGGAGAGGTGAAAGAGGCGATGATAGGTTGGCGAAAGCCGATACACAGTCACATGGTGACGGCGAAAGGTGCACGGGGAAGCGGGAGTGGACCAGGTTACAGGATCAGGTCCGAGGAGCAGCCACGTGGCAAGGGTATGTCAGCCAAGTGGGTAGGTGAGAGAAAGGTGAGTTGTGAGTACGACTGTGTATTTGAGCGTCATGTGTGAAAATTAGGGTTACCTTGTGAGAGATAGAGGCAGGGATGTTGTGCTGGGGAGAAGGGCAGGGAGGCTGGAACGCAGGGAGGAAGGGAGAGTGAGCGGGTGGGACGGACGGAGGGAAAGAGGGAGGAAGAAGGGAGAAAAGGTGGAAAGCTGGGGAGGGTGGAGGGGGGAGGAGAAGAGAATGAGGGAGGTAGGCTTGAAAGCGATGCTTGAAATTGCTCATTTTAGATTCTCTTAATCTGCCTTCTGCTGTGACCCTTCGCTGTGAGACCCTCGCCTTCACTGTGTGACCATGGTTTGTAAGAGCCGTTAAGGACCCCCTTTCCTACACTGTACGGACCGTTTTGACTGACCAAAAGTCCTTCGATTCTTTCTGCTTTACAGTGTTGGGGCCAGACGTGGTTACTTCTTTGGGACGAGCGAGGGGGAGATAGCGACGTGAATTTCATCTTTCTGTACTTTCTCGCCCTCCCTCCCTTCCCCTTCCCTTCCCTTCCCTTCTTTCCCTTTCCATCACTCTGTTTTTTCCTTCCTTCCCTTTCATCTCCTCCCCGCCTGTGCACTTCCCCTCCTTCCCTTTCCCCCCTTCCCTTCCCTCCCCCTCCCTTCCTTGCCCTGCCTTGCCCTGCCTTGCCCTCCTCTTTCAACGCACATTGCGTCCCCTCCCCTCCATTCCCTCCCCTCCCATCCTACCCACCTTCACGCAGCAAACCAAGGCCAAATCGCGAGGAGCTGAAGAGCATGTGGGCGCACCCAGTGACTTCTGAGTTGATTCAAATGTCGTCCCATTTCCTTCCCTTACCTTCCACTCCCTCCTCCTATCCCATCGCATCCACCTTCCTGCAGCAAACCAAGGCCAAGTGCGAGGAGCTGAAGAGCATGTGGGGGCAGCCAGTGAAGGCGTACGGGTACTGGGGCAGCGACAAGTTCAACCACAAGTATCTCATGGACCTCAAACACAGCAACCTCTCTGGGCGGCAGGACCCCTATGACAAGGTGACCCGCGTGGCAAATGCTGCAACCGAGGCGCAGTGAGGGGAATTTTGGGGCGTGTACGACTGTTCGAGATTTAGTTGGTGAGCTGTGGTAATGGTAGTTCCTTGTAGGATCCATGAAGGACACCAGCTGTAATTTTAGGAGTAAAAATCACACTGGGCGCATTGTTTGTGCATGACATACCAGTTCTTCTGAGTTCTGCTAGCTCATACTTGGAACTTGGGGCCGTGGAAATATACTACATCAGACAAATACTCTATTCTACCCTACATAATGATAAATACTGACCTGTCAGAAAGCTGTTCTAGTAGTTGCCCGTCTCGCCTACAGCCTTAGCTGGTTCGGCTCTCACAGAATCAGCCTCGGCTTTCCTTTTCAACCAATCTTGTGCTCCCAATCGCGCGGGAAACGTTCGGTTTCTGAACCACGTGCGCGCCGCACAACTCTCGATGGCTAGGTTGGGTTCGTTTCCGCGCTAGTAGAACCCACCCCTTGTTCAGTACAGTAGATCGGTTAAATACGGCGGTGTGCAGCGGAAACGATTTTTCCCTTCACCGTTTGCTGCTTGCACTTGTTCCCGCTTCTCCTGCTGCTCCCTCTTTCGGCCAGTACATTCCTACTCGTGCCACGTGATGCACGTGGTCCACACCAAAGCTCCTCTTTTCTGGGATCGTGTGGTTTCCTTCTTGTGCAGTTATACATCATCGCTTCCAGCTCCAGAGAAACGTTTTCCTCCTCTCTTCTCAAGAGAGCCCGTCGTCTCTTGTATTACGGTCGTTCCGTCGATTACCTTTACTTCACCACCCAGAAGACCAAGAAACTGCGAACTAGTTCTGCGCGGAACGTGTAACTCAACCGCCGCGAGAAATTCCTAAACCCGATGGCGGAATCCGAGTCGCAAGGGGCCGCCAAGACGAGGTCGAAGCAGCCCCGCGAGGACATCTGGTTGCGCGTGGAGTTCCCAGGGGAAGACCTATCCGACGTGATTCGCATCCGAGGCGCCACGCTCGGCGCAAACGCGACGATCCTAGACCTAAAAGAGCGACTCGCTGAGAGCATTGCATCGTCCGGCTCGGAAAGCATACCCGTCCATCGCGTCTTCGTGACGCTCCCGGCGGCGGCGGGCGCGGCGGGAAATGCGGAGGAGGCCCGACAGCTGTCGGCGTCGGATTCGCTGGACGAGCTTCCCGAGGGCGCGGGAGGGCCCAAGTGGCCGTTGATCGCGAGGGTGCGAGGCCCAGGTGAGCTGACGGAGTTTGACGGAGATGAGGGAGATGAGGGAGTTGACGGAGGGAGATGAGGGTTACGTGGAAAATGAATTGAAGGGTCTCATATGGAAGTGGCGGGTTCTGCAGATCGGACAAATTGGGCTGAGGGAACAGGGGACGGGAAGAAAACGGATGGGGAAAAGAGGGGACCGTGTTGGGGCACGGGGATGGGGAGAGGGGAGAGGGGAGGGGGAAGAGCGGGGACGTGCGTTGTGCGGGTTGCTTGGGTGGGCTTTGGGGAAGATCATGGGTAGTGTAGTCGCATGCTGTAGTGATGGCAGCTGATGCGTGCATCTTTGGAGGAAGGTTTTGGCGGGTTGGTTTGCGTTTTAGTAATAAGGGGAGAAGGCAAGAAACTGGGGATAAGCGGAAGAAGCTTACAAATATGGGCCACATTGGGGAATTTCCCGTCTCCCCCCCTCCCCCCTCCCTCGTAACTTTTCCCGCAAATTTTTTCTTTGGTTCCACTCCCGCTCTGCTGCTTCTTCCCTCCCACCCTCCCGGCCAGCAGCAGCAGCACCAGCGAAGCCTGTGCCAAAGAAGCCACAGACTTTATTTGAAAAGGGTTTGGCGGGAAAAAATGAGCCACCACAGATCCGAAATGCCATGGTGAGAGGGGTGAAAACAATTATTTGATGGGATCGTGTGGATGCTGGGTGGGTGGATGGGTGGATGGGTGGGTGGGTGGATGGGTGGATGGGTGGGTGGGTGGATGTGTGGATGGATGGATGTGTGGGTGGGTGGATGGGTACATAAATGCATGGTGTCTGGTGATTTGCCCCTGGGTGTTTCTATAGGTGTTTATCGGCGAAACTAACCACGCGTCGCATCATCGCATGTGCAAAGCCATTGCAAGTCACACATGTACGGTGTCGCTGCTGCTGCACTTGCACACGCGGAGTGATGCAAGCAGGCATAGGCATCAGGTGGCACGCAGGCCTGTTTCACTAGAGAGATGAATAGGGCAAGGACAAGGACAGTGTTCCGTGAGGGATGAATAGGGACCACACACAATGGGTGTTGCATGGACAAGCACACCTGTAATTCACTTGTTTTGGTGCTGCGCTTTGCAAGCTTGCAGTTTCTGTTTCGTTACTCAAATCCTGGCTCGAGGTCCGTCCCTACTACTGACTGGGTGGGCGCTGACTGGGCTGCGATTGGGCTGCCATAAAGTCCAACCTGTTCATCCCTTCGCCCCACACTTCTCCTTCATACTGCTCCATCCCCTTTTACCCACACCACTCTCTTCCATAAGTTATCCCTCTTCATCTCTTCCATGCCCTCACCAGGACATGCGCGATCTCTATCCGGGAGGAGTGCTCCCTAGATCAGGCATTAAGGATGAGAACCTTTTCATAAAGATTCTCAAGCTGGCGCTGGTCTTTGCTCTGCTGGTGGGCATAGCAGCAGGGGCCATGTACCTGCTTGGGGAGGTGCTTCCGAAATACTACAGTAATGGGAACACTCCTCCGCCTTGGGGTCGTCAGGATATGCCCGGAATGCATACAGAGTTGTGATTGGAGTGCGCATGATGAGTAAGAATCCTTTACCAATTTGATTAATTTGAACAAATTGTGTATCTCTTGGATTACATAAAACGACTGTAACTTCAGGGACCAGGACCGAGACATCCAAGCTGATTTGCCGTACCATTTGATGTACCGTATTTGTGCAAGTAGCAACTAGGGTAATTCCATATGTTTGTTGTGTATTGTTTCTTATGCCAGTCCTGGCTAATCTTCTTGTCGATGGGAATGTTGAAGCATGTACTGTAATCTCCCCATCCAAGAGTTAGTCATTTGAGCTGTAGCTAATGAATTTAGTGCATTTGCGCTGGTATCGAATCACTACACCAGTGAGCTTCGCCTTGCGCAAAGCACACCTGGACTCTCCTGGCTGATCCATCCACCCAGCCAGAAACGGAGCCTCCTCCTCCATCCATGCTTCCAGAAGATTTGCTCCCTGTTGTCGTGAACACAGCTGGCCTGGGCGTCTTGTGTCTGAATCCGCGATACAAGCATATATCGGTGTCGCGGGGAGCATACAGATCAGCATACGTTAGATACACGCCAGCGCATGTAGCACCCACCCAGCACATCTCACGAGTCACACGAGCCACGAGACGACAAACGCCCTCAAGGCTAAGGTCTGGAGAGAATTACTGTAGAACCTGGATCGGAGATTCATCCTTACTCGCGTGGCCTCGAATTACTTGAGTGGCCACCAAATTTGGTGATAATTACTAGAGTGGCCACGCCAGGGGATTCCCGCTGGCTTTTTTTTCCCCGGCACATTACCCAACAAGGGTTCGTATCCCCGAAACCTCTGTATTGATAATTGCGCGATTTTCAATTTACGCGATGATTTATAATGGATGTTTTCGCGTAATGATTTATATTCAAAATTTATGTTCGTGACTCTATATGACCGCGCCTGATTGGACGCGCATATAGTCGACCAATCATGCGCGGTCATTAATGGTCGGGCACATCATATATTAATACCCGATCATATATTTCCGCGATCATAAACTGCAATACCCGGGCGTCAATGCGCGGGACAAATGACCGCGCATGATTTGTCGATTATATGCGCGGTGCTTTGTTTTGCAATGCGCGTCCAATCAGGCGCGGTCATATTGGGTCACGATCATATATTTCGGATATTGAAGATCGCGCATTAATCAGTACAGAGGTTTCGGGGATACAAACCCTCGTAGGATAATGCACCGGGTAAAAAAAAACCAGCGGGAATCCCCTGGCGTGGCCACTCGAGTAATTATCACCAAATTTGGTGGCCACTCGAGTAATTCGAGGCCACGCGAGTAAGAATGCATCACCGAACCAGGCTCTACAGTAATTCTCTCTAAGGTCTGAGTAGGAGGGGAGGTTGCAGTGCAGGGAAGGGGGAATGGACCACAGCACACCATGCGACCACATTGAACCACACAAAAGCACACACCACACCACACCACACCACACCACACCACACCACACCACACCACACACGCCTGCACAACACCACCAGGCAAGCGAGAGATTACCCTCTTCCGGTCAGAGCCGTACGATCCAGGCTTAGATCGATTGCCTGCTCCTCGCCTCGCCACGCGCTAACTCCCGTCGCAGTTAATCTCTTTCCGCTGTCCCCGCGGCTCGTCCTCGCGAGATAAACTCTAGGTAAAGCACTCGCTTTCCTTTTCACCAGGCTTTTTTCCTTCTACCTTTCGTTCACGCTCCTCGGGAGGAGGCTGCTTGAAGTCCGTCCACCTTCCGTCCGCGCTCCGTCAACTGTTCACGTCCAGATCTGGTAGTTTCTCGCAGCAGCGTGCTGGTCCGTTAGGGGGTGGGGAGCGGAGAGCCGCTAGAATCGGCGGAAACGGCGGAAACGGCGGAAACGAGAGAATCGAGCGGAGCGAGCGAGAGAAAAACCTCAAAGACGAGGCAAAAACACGGAGACTAGAGATACGGCGCAGGATAGCGCAGGCAAAACCCGCTGCCACTAGGCGACTCGAAAGCCGCAGGGAAAGCCGAAACCCCCCGCACTCCGCGATTTCGTGCAAAAGCTAGCAGACGAAAAAACAAAACCCAAATGCGGCGGGCTTTTAAACGCCGCGCATGTCCGGCTGGCGGCATGCTCGGCGACGCGCAAGTGCCGATCTTCCGGCCGACTCTAGAGGAAATGGCGGCGGGATTCGAGGCTTACGTGGAGCGGATCGAAGCCGAGGCGTGGGAATACGGGATCTGCGTGATTGAACCCCCACCTGAGTGGCAGCCGCGATCACGTGGGTACGAGGACGTGGAGGATTGGACGATCCCGAAGCCGATTAAACAGCACGTGTCCGGCAGTCGCGGCGTGTTTCAGTCGATCCACGTGGAGACTAAGTCGGTTACGGTGCGTGAGTTCCGCGCCGCGGCGCACTCGAAGGAGCACCGCGGCCCGTGGGGGGACGACGGGGATATCTGCTGCTTGGGGAACGCGACTGACGCCGCTAACGCCGCTAGCGCGAGTGACGCTGCAGAAGCTGTTGGTAGCGATTGTAACGAAGGGGAGGAGGCTAGTAACGAGGATGGAGACTCTACGTGCGATGCTCGCTGCGAAGGGACCGGAGACGCTAGTTGTGGGGGTGTGGAGCAGCAGCAGCAGCAGCAGCAGCAGCAGCATTTTAGCAGCAGCCGCGGCGACGGTAGCGGTGACGGTGACGGGGATGCGCGTCAGAAGGAGTGCAAACATAGCAAGCAGAGCAAACAGTGCAAGCACAGCAGGCGGAGCAAGCAGTGCAGGCACGTGGGTGGGAAGCTAACCCTAGCGGACATGCAGACGTCCATCGAGCGCAGCTTCTGGAAGAACGTCACGCACTCGCCGCCCCTGTACGGCGCCGACGGGCTCGGGTCGTTCTTCGATGCTGATGTGCAGGTGGGTGCTGCTGGTGATGGTAAGGGTGCTGGTGGGTTTGGTTGTGGTGTTGGTGGGGATGGGGTGTGGTTGGTAGCGGTGCTGGTGGGGTTGGTAGCGGTGCCAGAGGGGCTGGTAGCAGAGCAAGGCGAGCAAGCGGAGCAAGCAGTGCAGGCACGTGGGCGGGAAGCTAACCCTAGCGGACATGCAGACGTCCATCGAGCGCAGCTTCTGGAAGAACGTCACGCACTCGCCGCCGCTCTACGGCGCTGACGGGCTCGGCTCGTTCCTTGACGCTGATGTGGTGGGGGTGTTGGTGGTGGAGGGGGGAAAGAGCGAGGGTTGCTGTTGCCGCTGCTGTTGCTGCTGCTGCTGCTGCTGCTGCTGCTGCTGATGCTACTGATGCTGCCGGTGCTGCTGTTGCGCAGTGGTTTGCATGGCATGGCATGGTGTTGTGCTGTAATGTAACTCTCCCACCCGTATGATGGTGTGTATACGAGTGTAGATGTGCGCTGCACCTATCACAGGTGTCACTGTGCGTGCGCGGGTGTGAGCTTGTACGTGCGTGCGTGTGCTTGTGTGCATGTTAGCGTGTGTGCATGTTACCATGTATGCATGTTACCGTGTGTGCATGTTACCGTGTATGCATGTTACCGTGTATGCATGTTACCGTGTGTGCATGTTACCATGTGTGCATGTTACTGTGCATGGATGCTAGCGTGTGTGCATGTTACTGTGCATGCATGCTAGCGTGTGTGCATGTTACTGTGCATGCATGCTAGCGTGTGTGCATGTTACTGTGCATGCATGCTAAAACATGGGTCGTCTCAGTCACCGCTGCTATCATGCACATTCTATAGGCAGCAGGCGTGCAGATTCTGGGAGGATCATGCCGTGAACTCAACCGCTTTACCCTCTTCCCATTTTCCCCCTCCTCTCCTCTTCCTCTTTTCCACTACTCTCCCCCCCTCGTCGCCCGCTCCCCCTTTTCCCTTCTTCGTCTCCTCTCCCGTTCCCTTCGTCCTCTCATCCTTCCCTTCCCACTCTGCCAGGGCTGGAACGTGGGGTGTCTGTCAACGCTGCTATCGCGCACGCTCGAGACAGCAGGAATGCAGATACCGGGAGTCACCACGCCGTATCTCTACTTCGGCATGTGGCGCTCGCTCTTCGCATGGTGAGAGGGGTGGGAGGGAGGGGGAAGGGGGAAGGGAGGGGCAAGGGATGTGTACGGCGTGGCGTGTGTGTGCCATCTTTGCAGATACCGGGAGTCACCACTTCGTATCGTTACTTCGGCATGTGGCGCTCGCTCTTCGCATGGTGAGAGAAGCGGTTGGATGGAAGGGGGGTGAAGGAGGTGACAAAGGGAGAGGGAGGGAAGGTAGAAGGACAGGCATGCAGATACCGGGAGGGGAGTCACCACACCACGCCGTATCGTTACTTTGGCATGTGGCGCTCGCTCTTTGAATGGTGAGAGCGCGGGTGGGTACGGAGGACATGGACCTGTACAGAGTGTGCGTGAGTGTGATGTGATGTGATGTGATGTGATGTGATGTGATGTGAACTAGCTGCACTCTGGTTTGGTTGCGCCGAGCCCTGGTGTCTCTCTTATTCGACTCAGAAACAAGCTGTCTGCCTACTACCGGCTTGTCTGTTGGCGTGTGCGTGCGTGCGCGCGTGCATGCATGCAGGCAGGCACACGGAGGCGGAGGGCATGGACCTGTACAGTGTGAACTAACTACCTACTTGCCGTAGAAATGTGACTCAATGGGCATCAGCTCTTGCTTGATTGCCTGCTTGTCTATCCGTGCGTGTGTGCGTGTGTGCGTGTGTGCGTGCATGCGTGCAGGCACACGGAGGACATGGACCAATACAGTGTCAACTACCTGCACTTTGGCTTTTGAGTCGACTCAAAATTCCACTTGTCCTGTCTGTGTTTGTATTGTATGCATGCATGCGTGCAGGCACACGGAGGACATGGACCTATACAGTGTCAACTACCTGCACTTTGGAGCTCCCAAGTTCTGGTGAGCGTCAAATTCTGATGAACGCTCAAGCCTCAAGTTAGGGCAAGTTGGGGTGAGGGCAAGTTGAAAAGATGTTGTGTGCCATTGTAACGAGGTGACTTTTGAGTCGACTCAAAAGCTCCCAAGTTCTGGTGAGTGTTAAATTCTGGTGAGCGCTCAAGTTAGGGCAAGTTGGGGTGAGGGCAAGTTGAAGTGACCCCTTCATCCTCCCCCCCCTCCCCCCGTTCCCCGTTCCCCTTCTTTTCCCCCCCGCTTCGCCCCCCACATCTCCCACCTTGTACTCACCTCACCCTGTTCCAAGGCACGCTTCGAGTGCCTGCTTCCTTTGAGTCAATCAACTCAATCCCCCCCTCCCCCTCTCCCCCCTCGCTTCCCCCCTTTCCTTCCTCCCCCCCCCCTCTCCCTCCCCGTCCCCCCCTCCCCATTCCCCCGAGGTACGTGGTGCCTCCGGATGTTAAGGCATGCTTTGAGCGGCTGCTTTCTTGCGTCAACTAAACCCCAAACTCCCCACCATGGCCTCGCTTCCCCTCCCCCCCCTTCCCCCTTCTCTCCCTCCTCCCCCCCCACTGTCCCCCCCAGGTACGTGGTGCCTCCAGATGCCAAGGCACGCTTCGAGCGGCTGCTGCAGGGGCTGCAACCAGCGCGGTTCAAGCAATGCCCCGAGTTCCTGCGCCACAAGGTGGGGGTGGGAGTGGAGGTGGGTGTGAGTGGGTGTGGGTAGGTGCGAGTGGGTGTGATTGGGTGGGAGTGGTTACAGGAGTGCAACTGGTTTTTAAAACACACCTCGTTCAAGCAGTGCCCCGAGTTCCTGCGCCACAAGGTGGGGGTGGGAGTGGGTGGGCGGAGTGTGGGGGTGGGGGTGCGTGGGTAGGTAGGATTGTTGGGGTGGGAGTGAGTTGGTGGGTGGGTGTGGGTGCAGGATCACATCTGCTTCCGCAACACGCGCCTGGTTCAAGAAGTGCCCCGAGTCCCTGCGCTACAAGGTGGGGCTGGGGGTTGGTGGGTGGGAGTGGGTGTGAGTGGGTGGGAGTGGGTGGGAGTGGGTATAGAAGTACATTTGGTTTCTTTTTAAACACGCCTGGTTCAAGCAGTGCCCCGAGTTCCTGTGTCACAAGGTGAGTGGGTGGGAGTGGGAGTGGTTGGGAGTGGGGGAGTGGGTGGGTGGGTTGATGGGTGGGTGGGTGCGCCCCTCTCTCTCTGTGCCCCACCATCCGCACTTGCCTTCGTCCCTCCTCGGTCTCTCAATCTCTCCTTCCCTCCCTCACTCCCTCCGTCCCACTCTCTTTCCCTCTTTCCTTCCCTCCCTCGCTCCCTCCTTCCCACTCTCTCTCCCTCTCTCCTTCCCTCCCTAGCGCCCTTCTTCCCTCCCTCTCTCCCTCTCTCCTTCCCTCCCTCGCTCCCTCTCTCCTTCCCTCCCTCGCTCCCTCTCTCCTTCCCTCCCTCGCTCCCTCCTTCCCACCCTCCCCCCCTCTCCCTCCCCCTCACTCACACACACTTTCGTTCTCCCGTGCTCGCTTGCTCGCTCTTGTGTGTGTCACCAGGAGACCCTGGTGACCCGCAGCTATATTTGAGGCGCGTACAAAACTCGTTCTAATACACTCTCGTTCGCTCGTTCTCTCTTGTTCGCTCGCTCGCCTGCTCGCTCTTGTGTGTGCTACCAGGAGACGCTGGTGACCCCGCAGCTACTGCAGCGGCACAACATCGTTTGACTTACTTCTGAGAATTCTCAAAAATAGCTCAACTTGTGTGCTCCCTCCCTCTCTCTCTCTCTCGCTCGCTCGCTTGCTCTCGTGTGTGCTACCAGGAGACGCTGGTGACCCCGCAGCTACTGCAGCGGCACAACATCGTTTGACTTACTTCTGAGAATTCTCAAAAATAGCTCAACTTGTGTGCTCCCTCCCTCTCTCTCTCTCTCGCTCGCTCGCTTGCTCTCGTGTGTGCTACCAGGAGACGCTGGTGACCCCGCAGCTACTGCAGCGGCACAACATCCTTTTGAGTTACTTCTGAGAATTCTCAAAAATAGCTCAACTTGTGTGCTCCCTCCCTCTCTCTCTCTCGCTCGCCTGCTCGCTCTTGTGTGTGCTACCAGGAGACGCTGGTGACCCCGCAGCTACTGCAGCGGCACAACATCCCGTTCCTCAAGGTGCTACAGCAGCCACGGCAATTCGTCATCAACTTCCCGGGTAAGCCCAGAAGCCCAGAAGCCCAGAAGCCCACCCACCAGCAGGCGCAAAACCATGGTCTGGCCTGCTTTCCTCTCAGGCGCGCGCCTTTTGAGACGTCTCAAAAGTCATTACCAGGCGCGCGCCTTTACCTGGTGGTTCTTAGGCGCGTTAGCGGCACAACATCCCGTTCCTCAAGGTGTTGCAGCAGCCGCGCCCATTCGTCATCAACTTTTCGGGTAAGTGCTTGCGTGCATGTGATGTGACCACCAAGACAGACAGTCGCCAACAATGGCATGGCAGGTGCATGTGATGGCTACGGGTGCATTGCACGTTACACTACAGACGTGGATTTGCTGTGCTGTGTTGTTCACCCCTGCATTCTTATGTATCCCTGTGCGTACGTGTCTGTGCGTATCTGTTTGTGTGTGTGTGCGGATGCGCAATTGTGTATGCGCTGTGTGTGTGTGCGTGTGTGTGTGCATGTGTGTGCCCGTGTGTATGTGCGTTTGATTCCATGTGTATTTGCCTGTGCATGTTTATCTGTGTACATCTGTATGTGCGTCCAGGCGTGTACCACGCAGGCTTCAATCTCGGGTTCAACTGCGCAGAATCAACCAATTTCGCCACCAAACGGTGAGATTCTTCTCCTGAAAATCCCTCCTTAGATCCTTCCTGAAATCCCTCCTGAAATCCCTCCTGAAATCCCTCCTGAAATCCCTCCTGGAATCCCTCCTGAAATCCCTCCTGAAATCCCTCCTGGAATCCCTCCTGAAATCCCTCCTGAAATCCCTCCTGAGAGCCCTTGCTGCTGCTGTCGGCCACGATTCTCCTTCCTCACTTCTCCCCTCCTCACCCACATTTTTATCAATTGTTATTTTCTCCTAATCGCTTCTGAGCGCTCTTATAAGTGATTTTCCCGAATCTTATTCCGATTTTCTCTCCCAGATCTCGTAGGAGGCAGTCCCTCGTTTTGCTCCTCCCCCTAACCGCTCTGTACCTCCCTCCTCATCCCATCCGACCCCCCCCCCCCCCCTCTCTCCTCTCGACACCCCTGTGCGAGAAGGTGGGTGCAAGTGGGACTCAAGGCGCGTCCCTGCTACTGCATCGGTGACAGTGTGTGCATTGACATGGGGCTGTTCGTTCCCCCCCCTCCGCTCGCTCTCCTCTGCCCTGACGACAACTCCACCGCTCTGCACCACCCCGAATCTATAGCTGATGCTGCTGCTGGTGATGCCGCTGCTGATGCTGATGATGCTGGTGGTTGTTTTCTGGGCGGCAATCTTGGGAGCTCTCAGGAATTGCAGCAGCAGCAGGGGGCGGAGAGCGACGGGTGTGGAGCAGAGGGAGAAGGAGCAGCAGTGGCAGGAGCAGCAGGAGCGGCTGGAGTGGAGCGGGTTAGGCTGGGAGCAAAGAAGCAGCCTCTGCGTCCTCCTGCTGCTGCTGCCGGGGGTGCTGCAGGTTCTGCCCTTGCTAGAGGGCAGAACGGTCGATTTGTGCGTGTTGCCAAGGCTGGAAAGGCAGGAGGAGGGAGAGGGGCGGCAGGTGCAAGGGGGGTGGGTGTGCTTCCGATAGTTTACCACCGAAGGCGAGTAATTAAAGTGCTGCTGCCGCAGCGACAGGCGCAGGCACAGAAGCAGGGGCAGGGGCAGGGGCAGGTTCGGGGAGGACAGGCTCGTGGGCAGGTTCGGGGACAGGCTGGGGTGGTGGCCGGGGTGCAGGCTGGGGGGGGAGGTACGGATAATGGGCGGGAAGGAGGGGTAGGAGGACGCGTGGAGGGGTTGTGTGGAGAGGAAGGGGAAGGAATGACTGTTGCAGCGATTGATTTTGTGAGGAAGAAATATGTGAGGAAAGGAGCAGTAGGGGATGTGGTTGCAGGGAGTGAGAGTAGGGTTCAGGGAGAGCAAATGGGAGATGGGGTAGCAGGGAGGGATGCCAGGGTAGGGGAGCTTGAGGGGGGAATAACAGGGATGGAGGCAGCAGCAGGAGGAGGAGGAGAGAGTGGGGAAGGACGAATGAGTTTGTTGGGTACAGAGGGGGCTCAGGGGGGAGTGCAAAGGGAGGTTCAAGAGGGGGTTGAGGGGAGTATGGGCGGAGCAGGAGCGGGAGGCAAGAGGAAGCGGCGGATGGGTGGAGGAGGGGGTGGATTGAGCAGGATAGAGGGGTTGGAACCGGTTCTAATGGTGAAACGAGTAAAAGGGACGACTGGGTCTGGCGCAGGGAGAGGTGGGAGGGGAGGAGGGAAGGGAGGTGGGAGGGGAGGAGGGAGGGGAGGAGGGAAGAGAGGAGGGAGGGGTGGGAAGAAAGCGGGAAGGAGAGGAGGGAAAGGGAGAGGAGAAGGCGCAGCAGAGGTGGCAGGTGTGGAGCTACTTGGGGGAGTGGTGAGGGGTGCAGATGGGTGCGTGCTGCCGCTGCTGATAGTGGCCTGCCCTGCTGTTGCTGTGCCTCTGGGTAATGCGGTGGGACCTGGGGTGGGGGGTAAGGCTTCTTTTGAGGCTCTTCAAAAACCTGCTGCTGCTGTGCCTTCGGGTGATATGATGGGAGTGGGAGATAAGATGGATACTGTTGCAGGAGATGCAGGTGGGGATGTGACTGGGTGTTTAGCGATAGGGGTTGTGAATGATGGGGAAAGGAGGGATTCGGGAGAGGGAGTTGTGAGGGAGGAAGGAGGAGTGGCAGGAGCAGGGATGGAAGGAGCAGGGATGGAAGGAGCAGGGGCAGCTGCAGCAGTGGAGATTGGGAAGAAAGGAGCGAAAGGGGGTAAGGGGACGAAAGGGGGGAAGAGGGGGAAGAAGGGAGTGAAGCGGAAAGCAGGGGGGAAGGCTACCAGGCATATGCTGAGTGCTGGTGCTGGTGCTGGTGCTGCTGCTACTGCTGGTGCTGGTGCTGGTGCTGGTGCTGGTGCTGGTGCTGGTGCAACAGCAGCAGCTATACTGACATTAGCAGGAGCAGGGGCAGCAGCAGAAGCAGATGCGGCAGATGTAGCAGCAGCAGGGGAAGGAGCAGCAGGGGCTAAAAAAAGGCAGAAAAGAGCTGTGAAGCTGCCAGCAGCAGGAAGAATCCGCCTTTCGCTTGGAACACAAGGAGCAGCAGCAGAAGGAGCAGCAGCACAAGGAGCAGCACAAGGGGCAGCACAAGAAGCAGCACAAGAAGCATTACAAGAGGCAATACAAGAAGGCCTAGGCACAGCCGTCCCACTACAGAGAGCCACCAAAGCAGGGCGCTCGGCACCGGAACCTCCAGAGACATTGAAAAAGACACACGAGGAGCATCAGCAAGGGGGAGGTGAAGTGGCAGAGGCAGCAGCAGACGCACAGCAAGCAGGCCTGCGGTCACTCCACTGCTCACGGTGCAGAAGGGTACGGATGGTTCCCAGACGCAACCCCCCTGCTTGGGTGGTTGAGAGGGTTGTTAGGGATAGCAAAGGGAGAATAGACACCTGGGGCGTGTATGGGGACAGGTGGAACCGAGAGGGTGAGGGTGTGGGTTTGGAGGGAGAGGAAGAGGAGGGGAGGGGAGGAGGAAGGTTTGGGGAGGCGGGGGAGGGAGAGGAGGGAGGAGAGGAGCGGTGGAGGCGTGTGTTTGAGTGTAAGATGGTGTGGGGGATGAGTTGTCGTACAAGAGTGCAGGTGACGGGGGAGGGGAAGGAGGGGAGGGAGATGAGGGTGAGATGGGATGGTGAGGAGGAGGAGATGGAGGAAGAGGAGGAGGGAAGAGGGGAGGGGATGGAGGGGAGTGTAGGGATTGGAGTCATGGGGAGTATGGAGATAGTGGTAAGAGGGGAGGAGGGGAGAGGGGGAGAGAAGGGGGGCGGGGGAGAGGAGGAGAGAGGAGGAGAGGAGGAGAGAGGGGAGGGGGTGCTGGCGAGGACTGTAGAGGTGGATGAGGAGTTGGGGAGAAGGGAGGAGAGAGATAGGAGTGCGGATGGAGGGGAAAGGCGAGTGGTAGCAGGGAAGCGAGTGGGAGGCAGAAAGAGGAAGGTTGAGTTGCAGGAGGGGTTTGGGGCGTCTAGTGGTGGTGGTGAGGGAGAGGGGTGGGCTGTGGCTCATATGGTGCCTGCGGCTACTATGGCTGTCACTGCTGGTGATGCTGCTGCTGCTGCTGCTGCTGCTGCTGCTGCTGCTGCTGCTGCTGCTGCTGCTGCTGATTGTGAGCAACATGTAGCCTTGCACAGGGGGGCATGTTTTTCCACTGGGACTTTGCTTCCCCCCTGCACCTCATCCCTTTCTCCCTCTGCTCTGTCGCTCTTGTCGGTATCTGGGGCGTCCCAGAAGCTTCCGCCCTCTGCTCTCTCGCCCGCTGTTCGCCTGTCGTCACGGCTGAGAGGAAAGAGAGCGCGTGATAAGGAGGAGAAGCAGAAGAAGGAGAGGGAGGAGGAGGAGGAGGAGATGGAGGAGGATGTAATGGGGAGTATAAGGGAGGAAGGGGAAGGAGAGGAGGCGTGCGGGGAGGAAAGGAGGCAGAAAGAGTGTGGAGACATGATGGGGCAGCAGCAACAGCAACAGCTACAGCTGCAACTGCAACTGCAGCAACAGCACCAGAAGCAGAAGCAGAAGGGGGAGAAGGTGGAAAAAGCTGAAAAGGCAGGAACTTTTAGCAGAGTTTCGACAAGAGCAACAAGAGCAGCTGCAGCTGCCGCCGCTGCAGCGAAAGCATCAACAGCAGCAGAAGCAGCAGCAGAAGCAGCGCCAGCATCAATACAGAGAGGTAATACGGCGGAGTGCCCGACAGTTATTGTTGCACCGTCCACCCTCCCTGCAGCGGAGGTGCGTCCTCCAGTTGTCTCTCACTCTCCCCATGCCACCTTCTTGGGATCAACCAAAAAACCGTTCGCGGTGCCAGTGCTGCCAGTGATGCCAGTGATGCCAGAAACCCCTGCACTCTCTCCTCTCCCAGTGGTCCCTCCTCTAGTTGACTCTGCCTGTGCTGCTACACCCGCCTCCCCACAAGGCACTATTATGGGTAGCTTCAAATCCTCCCGCACCCGCACCAGCAACACTGCGAATCGCTCTGCTCGGGAAGGGGAAGGGACAGAGAGCATTGTTGTTAGATGCCTGGGCTCTGCTTGTAACACGCCTCGAGTAGAGGAAGAGGCAGGAAACGCCACGGTCAGATGCCTGAAGTTTACTAAAGCACTTTCTTCTGCTCATGCCGCCACAGACCTTGCTTTCCCTCTTCCTTCTCCTGCTGCTGTTCCTGCTGCTCCTGCTGCCGCTGCTGCTGCTTCCGCTGATATGATTGTAACTGAAGGTGCTGGGAAAGGTATGATCAGTAAAAAGCGTAGTGCCAGGACGGTTTGCCCTGGTACAAAGCGGTACCACAGCAGCAGCTGCGGTAACAGCAGAGGAAGCAGCTTCAATGGCAGCAGCTGCAGCAGTGGTGGAAACAGCAGAGGCAGCAGCAGCAGCAGCAGCAGCAGCAGTAGCAGCGATGGGCATGTGTGGAAGGCTGAGAGAACGGGTGGTGGTGCAGGGGAGAGTGGGCTTCGAGTGGTGTTGAGGCGAGTGGGGGGGAAGCAGGAGAAGGGGAGTGGAGTGGAGGGGAGGAGGGGTAAGTCAACCCATAGCAGGGAGTTGGAGGGAGAGGAGCGGAAGGCAGGAAAGGAGGGAGAGGAGGGGAAGGCTTTTGAGTCGACTCAAAAGGGGAGTGGAGAGGAGGGGAGGAGTGGTAAGTCAAGCCATAGCAGCAGGGAGTTGGGGGGAGAGGAGCGGATGGCAGGAAAGGAGGGAGAGGAGGGAGAGGAGGGAAGGGGGGGAAGGGCAGGAAAAGGGGGAGAGGAGGAAAGGGCAGGATCTGAGAGGGCGGAGGGAAAGCAAGTGTTGAGCGGGCTTATAGTGGAAGGAACGGGACATCAAGGGTTTAGAGATGAGGTGCAGAATAGGGTCGGCGAGGAAAGAGCCGGGGTGAGTGAGGAGGAGGAAGTGGAAGAGGAGGGAAGGGATGTTAGTGAGGAGCAAGTGGAGGTTAGGGAGGAGGAGGGAATGGAGGCGAATGCAGGGGAAGCTGTGAGTGAGGAGGGGGTACGGGAAAATACAATCAGAACAGGGACGGAAGCAGAGACAGGAGCAGGGACAGGAGCAGAGACAGAAGCAGGGGCAGAAGCAGGGACAGAAGCAGGGACAGAAGCAGGGGCAGAAGCAGGGACAGAAGCAGGGACAGAAGCAGGGGCAGAAGCAGGGGTAGAAGCAGGGGCAGAAGCAGAGACAGCAGCAGGGACAGAAGCAGGGACAGAAGCGGGGGCAGAAGCAGGGACAGAAGCGGGGGCAGAGACAGAAGCAGGGGCAGAAGCAGGGGCAGAAGCAGGGGCAGAAGTAGAGACAGAAGCAGGGGCAGAAGTAGAGACAGAAGCAGGGGCAGAAGCAGGGGCAGAAGCAGGGACAGAAGCAGGGACAGTAGCAGAGACAGAAGCAGGGGCAGAAGCAGGGGCAGAAGCAGGGGCAGAAGCAGGGGCAGAAGCAGGGACAGAAGCAGGGGCAGAAGCAGGGACAGGAGCAGGGACAGGAGGGAAAGGAGCAGGAACAGAAGCGAGAACAGAAGCAGGTACCAGGAGGGAGGGCAGGGGAGAGGATGATGACAGTCCTACCGCATTTGACCCAATTCGAGGTAGTGGAGAAGAGGGGACGGAGGAACAAACTGTTTCACTGTTATCCGCCCAGGTAGTACCATTGCTATCACCCTCGCCACCAGCAGCAGCAGCAGCAGCAGCAGCAGCAGCAGCAGCGGCGGCGGCGGCGGCGGCACCACCACCACTGCAACAAGTGTTACCACCAGCACAGAGGGAAGCAGGCAAGGATGAAGGCTGGCGTTTTCAGGGCGAGGCTGCAGGTCTGGCTTCGTTGCTCTCTGCTGCTGACATTGCTGCTGCTGCTGCGGCTAGATCTGCTGGTACTGCTGCCATTGCTCCTTGTTCTGGTAATTCTGTTGATGCTGCTGTGGTTGCATCTGGTCCTGCTGATGCTGTTACTGGCTTCCAGGGGTTAAGCTAAAGCATGGAAAGGCGAGAATGTGGGGACAGAGGGACTGGGAAGCACGAATGGTTATGCTTCTTTTTTCTTTTTCTTTTTCCCCGATAGACACGTGCTGGGACTGGGAAGTGGCAGAGCCCGTGGTTGAAGGATGTTTGCTGTGCTGTAGAAGGGAATGGATATGTCCTGTGCAAGCGGGAATGGGTTGTTTGGTCTAAAGGCCGAAGATTTTGCATGGTGTGTGTGTGAGGTGGGAAGACAGGGAGTAGCGGTTCTTTTGTTTGGCTAGTTTTTTTCAAGGAGGTGAGCACGGGACGTCCATTTTTGAAAATGACAATGGTTTGTTTCGTATTTAGCTTGGAATCTCTATTACTCCCTTCCATGTGCACTAGATGTTGACTGCTGTAGGGAAAATTCCTTTTCCTTACTTCGCGCCCCTGCTTACTGCGTACACGACTGTTCCCGCCAACAGTGCAACGCTACCCGCTCGCGACACTCGCCTCGACCATTGTCCCGCCACTGTTCACGACTCGACCCAACCTCACGGTCCGGTCGGTAACCCGCGCTCCGGACCTCCGCCTCGACATTTCCCAACCTCGGCGCTAGGCCCGTAGCGCACCCCATTTTCTCGCGTTACCGTTACCACGCTAGCTTCGGTATATATTGTTCGCTCATTCCTTCGCTCATTGTACTGCTTTGCTTCGATAGTGCAATTCTCGCTCGCTCGCTCAATTGCACTCCTAACACTTGGTATTCAGAGCCTACGATCTCCTCTCGGATCGTACCCACACCTTCGCTTCCCCACTATCTCAATTTTTGGAGGGGGGGGACGTCTCTCAGCGCCCAAGCACCGCCGCTCGAGTGCTCTCTCGAAAGCACGCACGGCCACGACTGAGGCTCTCGCTGAGCTTGCCCGACACCCTCGCCATGGCCGAATTTAATCTCGCGACAATGACGCAGGAGCGCCTCGATCAACTCGTGCGCCAACTCGAGGAGTCGGCACTCGAAATCGCGACACTCACGGCGGAACGCGACTCCGCCCGACAGCAATCAACAGCGAATGCAATCTGCCAATGCACCTGTGCAATCGGATGAGCTGATTGTCATCTCGTCCGGCACACCTTCACATCACGACAGCGTGGGACAGCGATCAGGCGCAGCCAGTGATGGCGCCGCCCAATCGATGCCTGGCATGGAGAGGAACAGGGCCACGCCAAGCGCGAATGCACCTCGCAAAGCCCGGCGTCACGTCAGATTTGCAGCGACGATCGGCAACGAGGACATTGGCGCACCAATGCCGCTCAAACCACAGCGCCCACCCTGCTTCGATCCTAGCCAACGCGGAGGTCCGACGGTTCAATCGTGGGTCTTCACGATGAACGTCTCCTTCGATGCTAATTGCATCACGTCAGACGCAGCGAAGATACAATACGTTGTTTCGCTCCTGAGGGGCCCCGCCATGGACTGGTGGCGAGTCATCGTGACGTCGCCACGCGCCTACGAGCCACCGTCGCAAGAGGAAGGGCCCACGGGGCCAGCCGTCACCTGGAGTTCGTTCTGTGAAACCGCCCAGTACAGCACGTGGGACGCGTGGTGCGCAGGGCTTCGGGCGCGCTTCGAGCCGATCGCGGCTTCTATTTCGGCCCGTCAGAGACTGCGCACTTTGCGACAGCTTGGGTCGGTCCAAGATTATACGAGTGGTTTTCTCGCACTATGCGAGTAAGTCGGTTACGTGCACGAGGCGGAGCTGGTGGACCGTTACGTCGGAGGGCTGAAGCCGGACATCTCGCACGAAATCATGCTACGCGGGCTATCTAATTTTAACGAAATCATCGCGCTCGCCGAGAAAATCGACATTTTGCGCCGTCAGAGACCAGGGTACTACTACGGACATCGTCCTCGGGGGCCGACCGAGCATGCCACCGTACATGCCGTTGCGGCAAACGCAGCTGCTGCGCCATTCAAGGGGCGCTGCTTCGCTTGCAATAGGCCAGGCCATCGTAAGAGTGAGTGCCCAGAGGAGCTAAGGCGCCGTGGAGCAGAGCGAGGGAGGGAGTCTGGGAGGCAGGGAAACGCCAACAGTTAGTAGAGATCGGGCCCACTACTGACGAGACTCATTGCCCCTCACCGAGTCACAGTACCGATTAACGCAATCGATCGGGGTCGGCTGAATAAGGAGGGTACAGCGACAGATTGCCCAATACTGATTCACGGGAAAATACAGGGGGTAGAAGTGAAGATTTCTATCGACAGAGGAGCAAGTCACAGCTTAGTTAATACTGCAACAGCACGGAAATTGCAACAGACACTTAGTCGCTGCCTACCGGAGATCGACGCACACTTAGTTGACGGCACGCATCTGACCATACGGGAAAAAGTGGAGAGAGTAAAAGTTCGTTGCGGGGGGAACTTCTGGTTTACACAGGAAATGCTCGCGACGACGCTGGATGGGCACGACTTTTTACTGGGACGTGATTGGCTGCGACGCTACAACCCGCGAATTGACTGGACGACGGGTAGCTGCACTGTGCGAAGTAGTGGTAACTGGGTTGAGCTACCTCGCTGGCAGTCACCTGAGTCTTCAACGGTCCACGTCAACGCCATCACGATGAAACAGGTTGTCGCCGCTGGAGCTGACGTGTACGCAGTGGCTATTGCATTGGTAAGAGAAGCAGAGCGGCCGAGTGATTTCCAGAAACTGCTGGCAGCCGTACCGCCCGTATTGCAGGAATTACTGAAACGATGCCCGGGGACTTTTCTGGATGACTTACCGAAAGGGCTGCCACCTCAGCGAGCACACGACCACCGCATAGAATTAGAGCCAGGGACACAGCCAACCGTACAGCGACAGTTCAGACTGACACAGCCTGAGCTTGACGAACTGAGGAAGCAGTTAAATTACCTGTTAGAGAAAAAATTCATCCGACCGAGCTCGTCACCTTTCGCCGCACCGATACTGTTCACACCGAAAAAAGATGGAGGGTTCCGCATGTGTATCGACTACCGAGCGCTGAACATGGTAACAGTCAAGTCGCGATATCCCATCCCTCGCGCCGACGAACTGATAGATCAACTGCGAACAACACGGGTTTTTTTGAAGATCGACTTACGGGGAGGTTACCATCAGATTAGAGTCGAACCCTTGGACCGCGCCAAGATTGCTTTTCGAACTAGATACGGATCCTTCGAGTACACGGTGATGCCATTCGGACTAACCAACGCACCGGCAACTTTTTAGATGACCATGAACGAAGCGTTTAGGCCATTTTTAGATAAATGCGTGATAGTTTACCTCGACGACATCCTAGTCTACAGTCGCGACAAGCAGCAGCACTTAGCAGATCTGAAAGCGGTGTTTAAAGTTTTAGACGAGCACCGACTACTGACCAAGGGCTCCAAGTGCGAGTTTTTTCAGTACAGGTTGGAATTTCTGGGGCACGTTATTTCGGAGGCTGGAGTTGAGATCGACCCAAAGAAGCTGGACACGGTAAAAGCGTGGCACCCCTTGACAAATATCACGGAGCTACAGAGTTTTCTAGGGTTCGTTAATTATGTGCGTCGGTTCGTACCCGACATGGCACGGTTAACTGCCCCACTGACGGATTTGTTGTGGAAGGGGGTCATTTTCACGTGGGGGGAGAAAGAGCATGCTGCCCCTGAAAATTGTTCTCACCGCCCATACTGCGCATCGCCGACCCACACCGCCCATTCGAAGTGGTTACAAACGCAAGCGACATCGCCATCGGAGTGTCAGAACATTATAGCTCATGCATATTGTGTAGGCTATAGTGGGGTAGCCCATAAGGGGTACAACCCAATTAGGGTTAGTACTTGTACCCAATTCATTCATAGTTCATTCATTCCTTGTTTCTTCTCATGGTATCGAGCAGGTTCCCCTGTGGGAACTGTTCCTAGGGCCCACCGTTTTTTTTTTTTTTTCCTGCCCGGAGCGCACTCAGCCCCTGCCCGAGTCGCGCTCCCCTCTCTCGCGCCGCCCTAGCGGCCCCTTAGCGCCGCCCTCGCGGCCCCTTCGAGCCGCCCTCGCGGCTCTATCCGCCGCCCTTCGCGGCCCCTACTCCGCCGCCCTCGCGGCCCCGATCCGCCGCCCTCGCGGCCCCGATCCGCCGCCCTTCACGGCCCCGATCCGCCGCCCTCGCGGCCCCTTCTCCGCCGCGCTCGCGGCCCCTATCCGCCGCCCTCGCGGCCCCGCTCCGCCGCCCTCGCGGCCCCGATCCGCCGCCCTTCGCGGCCCCGATCCGCCGCCCTCGCGGCCCCGCTCCGCCGCCCTCGCGGCCCCGATCCGCCGCCCTTCGCGGCCCCGATCCGCCGCCCTCGCGGCCCCTACTCCGCCGCCCTCGCGGCCCCGAACCGCCGCCCTCGCGGCCCCGATCCGCCGCCTTCGCGGCCCCGATCCGCCGCCCTAGTGGCCTCCGGCCCCTGCTCCTACGGCCCCGGCGCCTGCTCCTACGGCCCCCGCGCCTACTCCTACGAGCAGCCCAGCCGCTGAGCCGCCGAGCCGCCCAGCAACCGAGCCGGATGCACTTGACATCCCGACTCCGCGCTCTTACGCGGAGGCGATAGAGGGTCCCTACTCCTCTCAGTGGCAGGCAGCTATGGACGCAGAGATGGCTTCCTGGAAGTCCACAGGCACCTACGTTGACGCTGTTCCCCCTCCTGGGGCGAACATCGTCAGTGGCATGTGGATTTTCAAGGTGAAGCGGCCGCCGGGTTCTCCGCCTGTCTTCAAGGCGCGTTACGTGGCTCGAGGCTTCAGTCAGCGGCAGGGAGTTGACTACTTTCAGACCTTCTCTCCCACCCCGAAGATGACCACTCTTCGGGTACTGCTGCACGTAGCTGCTCACCGTGACTACGAGCTACACTCTCTTGACTTCAGCACTGCTTTCTTGCAGGGCAGCCTGCACGAGGAGATCTGGCTGCGTCGCCCACCTGGTTTCACTGGGTCTTTTCCTCCTGGCACCCAGTGGAGCCTACGGCGGCCAGTCTACGGTCTCCGCCAGGCACCGCGTGAGTGGCACGACACACTGAGGACTACACTTGCGGATCTTGGGTTTGCTCCCTCTACTGCCGACCCGTCGCTGTTTCTGCGCACCGACACTTCTTTGCCGCCGTTCTACATCCTCGTGTACG